CCTGCTGCCAAGTCCCACAGGGGGAACAAGTCCCAACCACCCTCATGAACCATTTTGCTTCTAAGAGAGATGGAGAAAAAGCAGGGGATAGCACAACCATTCACTCAGTTTTAACCTAGACATTAAGCTAAATGTCTCCTTAGATGTTTTAAATAGTGTTCAGAAACTCCTATTTTTGTTGCACAAGAAAGGTGACATAACACCAAATTTTTAAGACTCTATGGAGAGCTGACGGAGCCATCAGCCCAGCCACATACTGACAGAGTTAAATCCCAGCCTACCTGCAAATTTTGCCATGGACCTCAGTGGCATCCATTCACTCCTCAGCCATTAAGCCACATATTATGGATAATTAACCTGGAAATTGTGTGAAGCTGAGATAGCCACTGGCATCACCCTAGAATATTTAAACAAAACAAGATACCAAACAAACAACAAAGGCTCCAGACATCCTGCTACGCAAGCACAGCTGACCTGACTTTGAGCATGGGGTGGGCAGGTAAGGCACTTCAGCTGGGCTGTGGATGCAGAACACTGGCAAAGAGCGGTGTAAGATAAGAGAGAGCGTGTTCTGAGGGTACATAAAGGGCAGATGTCTGGAGGTCAGCATTGTGAGACTCAAGCACCAACCTGAGACACTTTATTAATAATTTCCTTGGTCATGCCCAGTGAGGTAACTAGAGCTTCCCACCTTGACTGACACAGGGAATCAGCAGGCAGTGCAGTGGTGAGGTACACTTCTCCTCCAGATCGTTCTGGCAACTCTGCTTCATACCACATAGTTCCTGTGGGCTTAGCCTGCGACATCTCATGAGGGCTCAGCACCCAGGCTGTGGTCCCAGCACGTACCTGCATGGCCCAGCAGTGCCATTTCCCAAATCTGAGGGCAGAAACAAGCTCCCGTGCTTGCACAATATGATGCAAAGCCTTAAGCACAGGTAACCCTGGGCAGCTGGGCAGTTTTCCCTCTGTTCTTGTGGCTCCACAAGCTGCTACACTCTAAGGCCCATTGTAAGCAGGTTAATTTTGACATATACGCTTTTCTTTAGTCAGTGGATTAAGAAGCCCAAGTGCAAAATCTGCTTAATTGTACTCTTTTAGAACATTCGCTGTAGCAAAGGACCATCATTAGAGGATAAGTCAGCCTCCCTCTCCTTCCTGTGATGGCTATTGAAGGAGCCAAGCAATATCCTAACTTCAGTTTTAGGTAAGTGCCCAAATCAGGTGAAATTGATCCTGACCTGACTTAATGCACTAGCAGGATTTTTTTTTCATTGGAACTGGGAAGACTGAATATGTATCAAAATACTGCAATTGGTTATTTTGAGACAAGGGTAATGTTTTTAATTAAACATACTCATCTGAAATACATTATATGAACAGAACCAAAGGATAGTAATCAGCGTTACAGCTATGTGCTATGGAGAAGGCAACACTCACTTCCAGGCTGAAGCCCATTTAAGCATCCTCAGGCCTCTTAGAGAAGCCAGTGAGCGCTGATGCCTTGGGAGAATGGAGGCACAGACCTCCAATCTGTAGTTTTTAAAAACCTGAACTAATAAACATTTTCGTTTTAAAAAACGTAGACATGAAAGAGCAAAAGCAACCAAAGCACACAGGTCCCTTTTTATTGACAGGCCTATTTTAATAGGTCAATCTACAGCATTTAACTGACAGCTTTGAATCTGTAAGAAAAAAAAAAAAGGACTTTGAAAAGATCTGGTTTACAAGTCTAAGCTGATGAGATATAGCAGCCAGGATCATCTTACATTTTTGTGAAGTTATTTAGACAGCCCGAGCTGTCAGCCAGGCTGCAACGAAGTCAGTAATGTAGAAAGTAACATAGAAAACACAATTTTCTCCCATTGAGAATGTGGAGTTCATGCCGTTAGTATGCAGAGCTGGATTAAATTCAAGAGCTGCTGCAGTCATATTGGCTTTGCTTCCAAACATCACAACGTTGGAAGTTTCCTTCCAACAGTCTAGCAGATGTCATGTCTAACACAGTAGGCACCTCCAGATAAACAAAGTCTCACATATGATGGGCTCCAGTGTGGTGCAAATACCACCTGGATAGTCAGCTGGGTCCACCTGAGTAGAGCTCCAGAGTTCTGCTAGAGACCCATGCTGGGTCTACTGAAAAGTGTGTAACAGTAACAAAGAAGGGGAAGAGTCACCAGGACAACAGGCTGTGGGAGCCAGTAGGGGTCGAGCCCTTCCCTATAAGCAAGTTCTGTCACTGCCAATGCAAAACAGTTCTCCTCCCTTCCAAAAACTCAGTTGTCTGTCAGTGCATCAATAGGGGCTACAGATGCATGTGCAGCCAAGGAAAAAACATAAATTCCTCTTTTGTCTTGTCTCTCTGTCTTATTAAGGTTACCAGGCATAATGTGTTACTACATATCAGCTGAGCCTGGGTGATGGCACCAAGGACACACGCAGTTAATAGCAAACCTAAGATAAGATACATTGACTCAAGCCTCAGTGATGGAGGCTTAAACTAATCCAGTTAACCTTGAATTTGCAGTAGGTAAGAAGCATACGTGCAAATAATTATTGGACCTCACCTCACACACCTTAAGCTGTGGCAATACATCTGCTTAGTCTAAGCTGCTCGTTTCCATTTCTGGGTGTGTGGCGTTGGCACGACAGTGCTGAGACTCTCTTCTGAATTAAAATTCAGCATCACAGCACAAGACTGAGGTCAAAACAAGGATTAAAAAGTCAGCCAGGCCCATTAGGACAATGCAATCTCCAGCAATGTTCATTGGGGGTAGTGTTGCAGAAACTTTTTCTAGCAATGCATTTCTCAGGGCCATATGTAATCAGATGATGAACTTAAGTCATACGCATACTCCAGTGAAATGACATCTACATTAGAGCCTTCCTTCTGACACAGCAAGATGTTCAAAAGTGAACATAAACTGGAGGGAATGCAGATAAACAGCTCCACAAGAGACACTCCCAGATTTTGCAGTTGATGATCTCCAGAACTGCTGTATAAGCAAGAAGTCCCCACCTGTTCATGCACAAATAAGATTAAAAAAACTCAAGCAGATGGTGACTTAATCCCCAACTCCATCACCAACTGATGCTAGACAAAATGAGGAACACGCCTCATGCTTTAAACCTTTGCTTGTAATGGAAAAATCTTCAAAATTGGGTGTCTGTAAGGACAAAGTACTGCCATTCCAAAGTACTGTACTAATTTGGAGATTTCACTCAATAAAGGGAGATATCCAACTTTAAATATTGATTACAGGCACAGGGTATTCAACAGGATCAAGCAACATCTGAACATGCAGAAATTAAGTGGAAAACTCAGGCTCAATGCCTCAAATAATCCAAACAGAGATGCAAACAGCTGTCCATTCCTCCTCACCTCATGATCACTTGAAGTGGTCTCCTCTGAAACTCACGGCTTACTTAACACACACAAAACCAGGGTACTCTGCCTTCAGGATGGTATCGTGCACCACTCACCACCACTCCACTGTTCATGCTAACAGTAAGGATTAAAATGTAGAAAACCAGCCAAAACTGCTGTTGCTATTCAAGCAGCTTTAAAACCATGCCTTATGCAAATGATGTTTCTTAAAAGAAAAGCACAAGCTTGTGTCTGCTGTCCTGGTTCCCCTTCCCTCTGCTCCTGCTGAAAGGCACAGCATGTCTACATTTAACAGCAAGTCCTACACCAGCCAGAGGAATCCTGCATGCTGGCTTTGCACAGCAACACATCCCTTCACATCTGGGATGAGGGAGGAGGGCCAGGCTCCCCTCTCAGTTCCACAGAGGCAGCAAAAAGGAATATTTGCTTCTGTGTGTTTACAGTAGAGTAGCAATGAATTTCCACTGCTAATAAAGGCTTTCCTGCAGTGCAGGAGCCTATGAGAAGGACCCAGAGCAAGCAGAAGCACATCACTGTCTCAAATCTGAATCATCCCACCTTACTTCACAGATCTGAAGTTAACCTACAGCAGACATGAAACTTTATCCTCCTAAATGAGTTTACTCCACTTCTATCCTAAGGGACAATTTACCAATGGAATCTTTTCAGCAGTAGGAAATGCTGAAAGGAGTTTTTAGTCTTCAAAAACACACTCCACCACACACCCCTCCACTTGACATTGCCCTTCTGCCTGAAAGAAGGAAAAAACCCACACAGCCACATCAAGGTTATTTCAGACAGATTAAAATGTACCAAGTTCAGAATTTCTCTCTTACCAATGAATAAAATAGAAAAAAATCATATGGTGTTTAATAAACCCAAGTATTTTGCTCAACTTTTAGGAAATCTGAAAACCAGGGAGATAGATCTGCACCATTCTTACAGCATTCCCATTAGGAAATACACAGTAGGTTTTCTCCAGCTTGCAGAAGGCAGGTTCAAATCTATCCTTTAAAGTCCCTCGAGCTGTGCCACAGGTACATACACAGTCCAGACACATGCAAAGATAACAGACCAAGGGGTCATAATAACTGAAGCACTCATGCAACTGGTCATGAGACTGCTTTGGTCAAAATAAGAGCTGGAGTTCAAACAAGCCCAGCTCACATGGTCTGAGCGGACTGGAAAGCAACCGTATGCACAGCTCAGACAGCAGAGCCAAGTGTAAAGCCTGCAGCAGCTGGATGAGAGGTCACAATGACACCTCCAGTGCCTAATGCATATGGAAAGAATCAGGTTCTTGTGAAAATCCAGGTTAACCATTCCTCTTTCAGCATAACACTGATGTCCAGGAAGTCTTCTTAGAGTGCTTGACTGTTCTGGACCCAAAGGTCTGGTATCAGAAACACTCAGACACTTAAGTATTTTCTCGGTGCTACAGGACCTCCATACCTTTAAACTGATGGGCCAAATATCTGACCTCCCAACTAGTCCTTCATGTCAAATGGTCTGCAATTTTAAAGCTAGCTTTTACATAAAGGTTAAAATACGTGTTATTGTCCAAATCTTTAATAGCTCACTGTTATTGATTTGTATTAAAGCAAATCTGAAGTAACAGTTTGACCAGTTTTATTATTTTTCCAATTGCATTAATTTTACATAGTACAAAATTCTCTTATTTAAGCAAATCACATAAAACCAGCATAACAAATTTTGCCAGACAGGAAATACACCTTTATCGACATATTTTAAAGCATGTTGTTTTCAATAAGAGTTTAATTTGTTCTTATGTTTCAGAGTTGTCATGTACATAGGAAGCTTCCAGACATCCAGGTTCCAGTTCAGAATTTATTTGCATATAAAAATATATTATAATGGAAAAAAGCATTAAAGTTCTCAACTATATAAAATTACAAATATATTTGCATAAAAGCAACTTTAAATTACAATTTAAACTATATTTTAAAGCTAAATAGAGCTGTAACATTTAAGTTATCTTATTCCATCTGCTGCAACATAAAAAAACTGGTATCGCCACAGTTAAATACTTGTAGGAGTTTACAAAGGTTATGTGCAGGAGGTGAGTATCTTGGGGAGCAAAGTTACCAGACAAGGGCAGCAGTTCTCAGGGACCGATGTCACTTATCCTTCAGAGGACACCCACAGGCAAGCACAGTGCCAAAAATTAATTTCACATACCTGAAAATAAAGAAGATAGATCATTACATTCTAAATTGAATAAGATTGCATGCTGTTGACACATCAGACACCCATCTACGCCCAGGTTGCTAGACTGCCTGACAGGCCGAATTATGTCTTTTTTAAATTAACATGAAAGCTGAAATGCTAGTGTGCAAAAATATAAGGCAAGTACTGTTCTAACAAATGCCTTAGGCTTGAAAAGGTATCTGTACAAAGTTCTGTGTAACCTCAAGCATATAAATACAACTCCTCAAAAATGTGATGATATAAAATATCAGATAGAAGTTGGACCTCCTACTCACTGTACAAATGAGGCTCTGCTAAGATGCCTAGAGATTTGTTTAGTTGGTATTGAAAAAAACACAGCAAAAAAACCACTAAAACACTAGAGCAGGTGGTAGTTTCTGCCCTCATCTTTGATGCACCTTGCAACGGAAAAAACCGAAATCTATATACTATAGGCAGTCCCTTAAGAGTTAGCTGCAACGTGGCTGTGCAAGATACAGCAGTGTAAATATTTACTGGTTTAGGGTTTCATTGTCCTACACAAACCTTCAAAAACTCAGATTTTTTTTTTTTTTTTGGAAGAGCAGTCAATTAAAACTCAGTGGGAAAGATGGAGTTCCCTCAAGCACACATCCATGACAGAAGACAGGAAACTAGAAATATATTTTAAGTAAGAGAAGTGAAACCAGGATTAAGATACAAGTAAGACAGCAAGGAAGTAGGAAGCTCATAAGGGCAGGTGTCTTGAATTAAGTCTGGGTCTTCAAGAAACACAGGGAAGGGAAAATACCTAATGAATATATGAAACTCTCAGTTCACAGTTTGAGAGAGCTTTGTTTATGCTGCTATTTAGGTCTAGTCCTACAATTTGTTAGTTTGGGCTCTGTAGCTTAGTTGCACACAAAACAAACAAACATACCAAAACACAAAACAAACACATATTTTATGTTTACAACAGCAGAGGAAGAAGCAAAAAGACTAGGCAGAGTACCTGGCTGGCAATAGGTGGCCAGTTTTTTAGTTTGTTTTTTTTTTTCCTTAAAAATCATAATGAAGAATCCATTACTGTGACTGGAAGATACAATTTCTAGATAGTGAGAGAAAATGTGATCTAAATTCCATTCATGGTAAAGACAAGTACAAACAGGATTTTGACATTTAGTTTAGGTCAATAGATACAGTTATCCGGCTCCTCAATTCTTTCATAAAGCAAAGTCCAGAATAGAAATGTTTTCCTCACCTATGGTTATTCCTCATGTTGCTTAGCTTTATAATGAAGGAACAAATCCCCAACTTTTTAGCTGAGTTTTGAGTATTTAGGAAAGTGATGTTTACTTGATCTGTACACTGACAAGGAGTGGTGAATTCAGCTGCCTCAGAGGTAGAGACAGGGGTTCATTGCCTTGAACTGCATGCCTTGAACATTCAGGCAAAGATCTGAATTTAGGCTATTTCACCTTCTTATACACAATGATCCATAGGACTAGCAAACTAAAATAAAACTGCACTATACAAACTATTTCTATTTTTCCCTTGGCCATTGGCTTTCATCACTCTTTCACAGTACCAACTGACATGCAACTAATAAAAATCTACTTACTTGCTAGTGTTCTGTCAAGATCAGCAATGAAGTCCTCCAGTTCTTTTGTGTCTCCGAGCTTTGCTGCAAAAGAAGAGCCAATACTGCTTAGACATGATATATTGCTCTGGCTAGAAGAAACACTGGAACCACACAATCCTCCAAATCATTTTCAGTGGTATCTAACATGGTGTGGATTATTGTCAGCCAAGTTCAGTAGGATTGCTGCAATGTCCAAATACACTTAGACAACAGGGGAGACTGAATTGAAATTCTAGCTTTTATAGTTTTCCATTGGACAGAAGCAACACAAAGCAATCCTTTGTTTAGTTTCCTTGAAAAGCAGAGGTTGAAGTGAAGAAAAAAAAAAGCTATATGTCAGATAATCCATGCCCTTGCTACTGTGGGTATCTTCCTCATTTAATCTATTCAGATACTGTATGCATGGCACAAACAAAACCCCAGCCAATTACCTCCCAGTCCAACTCAAATCTCAGCCTCCTAAAATCATGTCAGTATCACGGGTTTGCTGTGCTGTCAGATCCCTTGATCTTAGTCCATACACTATGAATTTGGAACCCAACATCCAAAGTTTTCACCCCTGACAACACCACTGGTTCCATTCAATCTAGTTTTACTGCAAGTGGCTTCCTTATTTTTCTAATCTTCATTTTTGTGGTCTATTATAAGCCAGTTTCCAACTCTATTTCTGTCTTTCTGTCTTCTCAACAGGAAGAAGATCTTGACCTTTAGTGTAATTCCTTGCCAAGTATTTCCTTTCAGTTTAACTGAATTCTTTTGCTACTTCATATTAACTGTTACTCATTATTTCTTTCTAGTATCGTGTTAATTGAAAATAAAGCATTTAACTTGTTTTTTCATGACTGGTCACTGTGGAAAAGACATGAAAGTGTGAAAGGCCATTCAACATTCATATGAGAAGACTATTTGTAATGAAAGCACCATGTAGTACATATGTATGTGTTCATTTATTGATATATCTGCTCTAGAGTTAATTCAAGTTAACCTGAATGAAACACTGTCATGGGAAGTTACATCAGCTGGAAGACAGAAGCCACTTTGAAACAGCATAGCTTCAAAGGAGGAAGGAATTACTAATACATGGCTTGTATCAGCAGTGCAAAGGTCTATATGGATCTGGCAATTTTGTTAACTTAAATAGCAGCATAGGGCTTCAGAGGAGTCCCTCTACCCCTACATTCAGTCTAAGTGTTTTTATAGCAGGTGGGACACAAGCTACTTAGTTGCTTCAGTAAAGAAGTAACACAACTTAATAATATAACTGTTATGTAAGTTTTACAATTAATCCTTATCAGACAGAAAACTGTAATTTTCTTTAGCTCGGTGTTTCAAAACCAAAAAAGAGTTGCCAGGTCACCTGCAAAGAAGTGCAGGCAGCAACCTACTGCCACTTAGAATCCAGACAATAATACCTGGATCTGAAATGTGTTCAACAGTAATCCTTAGTTTTATTATCATAAAAAAAAAAGTCCGTGTAAGCATGAATCCTGGCTCACAGAAAGAAGCCCATATAGTTGAGGAAAAAAATGCCAATGGTTAAAAATAAGCATACCTTTACATGGAGTTACAGATGGAGATGGCAAGCTTGGAGTAGATGCAGTTGGAGAGTTGAGTTTTTCATCACTGAGGCTGAAACTATTTCTGTAGAGTGAATCTGCACCTGTAAAAAAGTAACATTATAAAGCAAATTTAACACCTTCTGCAATTTTGCAACATAATTGAAATCAGAAGTGGGGCCTTTCCTATATGGTCTGTTGAACTCAAATCAACAGACTTCAAAATCAGAGGAATAAATAAATAAATTATGTATTGTTGAAGGCTGTTGTTCCCACTCCTACTGTTAAAAAGCAAGCAGTTCTAGGCTCTGTCCTCACCCCCAGTATGGAAAGTGTTAGCTTTCCCTGAAGTCAGCATCATTTGAAAAATATTACAGGAATGACAATTATCTCACATCAGCTAAATTAGACCTGGTAGGATCCGCCTAATTCACAATATCCTGGGAAATTTTGTTACCTAAACTTTGCAAAAGTTATATAAAAAAGCTGAATAGAGAGCTCCAGGAAAAGGACAGCCTCCCAGAATGGAGAATATATTTAGTGTTGTCCTTTATTCTCAAAGCAAATGCAACCATTTCTCCATACATTACTCTGCTGCTTTAGATCTACAGCCTCTTTTAATTTTCTTTTATTCTGTGACTCTCTGGAGTTCATGAAGCAGTACATCAGTACACAAGATATTCTGCAATCTTATTTTAGGTCATCTTTCAAAGAAAGCTTTATATGCCCTGGAAAGCAACAGGAAAAGTTCCAAATATTTTGATGTTCTTGTATTTTAGACAAGGCCTTAAGTTTCAAAAGTATCAAAAAGTATCTTTACCTTGCCTTTTTTCATATAACGAGTTCCATGATGCACAGTGCACACAAAGTATTAGTCATGGCTCCACTGGAAGGAGGAATTGCCATTGTGCTAGAGACACTAAAGCTGCTAGTTCTGTAGTTTTAAGCCAGTGGTCTGAAAACTGTAGTTGTATAAAAAGAAACCATTGTAACGTGAACATGTCAGTGGTCTCTATTTATCTGGTACATTTCCTAGGCCATAAATGTATGTCTTATTACACGGGGTGGTAACTACCACTGCTTGCCATTGAGGCAATTCTGCCTCCCTGCAGCACATGCAGCATTTGTCTATGGAGCCTAGAAGGTGGTTGCACTGCAGCATTAAGTCCATTCAAGGGAGAACTGTCACACTTCCTTGGATACCTTCCTATACCAGGAGATGACTGCCTTAGTTAAATTAAGGGTGTCTTGCTGAAATAGCAAAAGGGAGCAGGACCACAGCCTGCCTCGCCAAAATCTGAACATCTACACCTCCACTGAACATTGCCACGATGTTTCCAGGTATCAAACATCAAGACCATCCTCTTGCAGACTACTCCTTCACTGCAAGTTCCACCATCTTTGGGAAGAAGAGTGTGTGTCCACACCCCACCTCCTCTAGCCTGCTGTCCCCACCAGCACAAGACCACCGTCCACAGGAGTATACAGTTACAGTGACAAATCAGACCAGATGACTGCACCCACGAAGCCTGTCAGATCTCTCCTCAGCCGCAAGCTGATTTATTTCTCCTGTGCTGGCTTCCAAGCCTACCTGTATTACAACATATGCTGAAAATGCCTTTGTGAAAAGCTTCAACCTGGAACACTTTTCTCCTTCACGTGCATTTTGGTCCACCATTGTACTGTATCTTTCAGTTTGCTCTACAATCAGCTCTGACCGTGTTCTGGCAAACACACATGCTGCCCACAGCACCATGCAAACATGAGTGATGATGTGACTGACATCTGTTGCCTGGGACTACTGCCACCAAATCAGTCACCAGTTGGTATTTCTTGTTTATAAAGAAAAGTATGCTTCTTCATGCAATCTTTTAATTGCAGTTTCTTTATCTTCACTCTTAAGAAGTGCCTGTTCTCTCTAAATTTGAGTAGATCCAAACCAATCTACTTGAAACTTCAGATACAAGAAAGATTCGATGAATACAGCAGAATTGAGATAACTTGAGTTAAAAAAAATGGAAAAAGGAAGCCATTTTAAAAGTGGCTTCTAAAAACAAAAAATAATTTAAGGGATAAAAAAAAAATAAAATCTAACACTGTTCTGCAATGATGAGTGTCACCAGTCCTGTACTATTACGCAGCATGAATCCTGTACACTAAGTGTTACTTTCTCTCCATTAAAGGTATTTCCTCCTGAAATCAGCTTACAGATTTCCTACTAAAACCACACTTCTTTTCAGCCAAGATGCAAGCCCAAATGACCAAGAAACATAGAATCAAAAATTCTAGCTGTTCAGGACAAAACCCCCACCATCACCAAAAAGCCAAGTAACTTGTAATAGCTCCTCACACAAACAGTACTGTAGCCAAGACTAACTCACTGAAACACTGACAGAACAGACCAAATATAAAACACCCTCCAGGTTATGTATTTGAAAAAAAGGAGAACAAAAACTTGCAAATTATTTCATATTTCAAAGGTTTTACAGCTCATTGAATTAATAAAAAAATAATACAGAGAATAAAGACTACAAAACTGAGCATACTTTTAATGTGGAGTTTATGCTACTAGAATCCAGACACCAAATGTAGTGATGCCGGGGATTTATATTACAAACCAATCCTTCCCACACACAAAATCCAAAGTCACAGTCGCTCTTATCTAGAACCAGAATAAAAACTTCTTTCTGTGAATGTTTGTGAGGGCAACTCATATTGCAAAAGCCTTAGTAAGCCATTAAAATTGGCCACAAACTATTCACACAGTTCTTTCTTTATATCCATGTACACATCCAACCTAGCAGTGACCTCTGACACGTTTTGTGATTTTCTCTCCATGTTCCTTCTCTAAGTAGCTCAAAGTACTCACTGCTCACTTGGCAATGTATGGACACTAGAAAATGTTATTTCATACTGGCTTCCACAAACATTGTGCTGGGAAATATTTACAACTGGGCAAAGATAAAACAAAACAGAACTGTTGCTTTAAATATCTGAATGTTTTTCTTCCAGTTTCAAAAGGTAAAATATTTTCACAGAACAGTGTTATCTTCTGATGGACTATTGATATTTTCCTGAAACTTTCTCAAAGCAAAAACATACTTGAGCTACTGGCTGTGGCTTACACACAGGACCAAGCACCCAGAATTCTGGTGGTGCAAGGAGGAATGCATTGACTCCACCATCAAGGTCACTATAACTGCTGAAAACAATGTACTGTTAAAAAAATACTTGGGACATCCATCGTTGAAAAATATCTGGTTTGGCAAAGTGTGGTTGTAGAGCTGAAAGCTCTGGGAAAAGGTCACTTCAGTCCTTGCCCTCTACCAGCTGCCATGGCCAAGATTTGCTCATTCACCTTCAATAATGGCCCTTGGAAGGGTTCCACTGCTACACAAATACAGCATCCTCTGCAACCCAGCAAACAGAGGCTAATGCCAAGGGTCTCATTGCTGCTGTGTTTCCTCATCCAGCTCCTTCTCTCCCACTGCAAATTTATCATTCACTACTTATTTTTCACTTTGTACTTTGATTCTAGTCCCTGTGCATATATATAAACTATGCCCCTTCCACTGTTTTAAAAAACACTCAAATTGTCTCTTTAAAAAAAGGTCTTAAAATCTGAGACTTAAGTTACTGAGTTCATTTACATCAGTCATACTAAGCCAATAGCTACAAAATTAGGGGGTAGGAATAAATATGGCTGTATTTTACTTTGGCAGAGTACTCTGTAGTTAGTATTGACCTTTCCTGTTCTAATATATGGTTAAACCACAAAAAAAGAAAAACAAACAGGGTAACACCATGTAAATATAGAATGTCCTCATGAAATGAGCAATTGATTGGTTCTGGGTAGTAATTAACTGAAGGAGGAAAACATGAAACTTTTCATTTCCATTGGAAAAGTTCAGTTGTCTAACTTCTTTAATATTATGTTCTTTCTAGTACCATAGTTCAAGATAATTTTAAAGAGCATTGGAAGTAAAACTTTTACTGCAGCTTTCAGTGGGAAAGTTTTAGAGGAAAAAAATAAAGCACAACCCTAAAGTTTTCAGAGAGGAGCTTTAAAATTCCACTCAAGTGTCTACAAACTATGAATTTATTATAAAACTCAGAATTTAATGAATAGACTGCAAAACTAATTCCTAGTCAGAACATAGCCTACTTGCTAATAAAATAAGAGAAAAATCAGGAAACTGTAATGCCACCAGTAGAAGTGAGAAATATTCGTGATACAAAGAACTTGTTCTACAACACATACAGCAGCCCTCAAGGATAGTGTTTGTTTTTATCTAATCACAGTTACAGCTGGCTGCATTGTTTATTTTTTGTGGGGTTTTTGCCTAGCTAATGAACATCTGGTCCCAGACTGATAAAAACACCTTTTCACTATTGACACATCTAAGCTTCATTACTTAAAAGATTTCAAATCACATACTTACAAGAAAGTGATCTAGGAAGCCAGAAATTCAGATCATGATATACACAAAACATGTTTTCTCATATACAAAGCTTACCTTTCCAATCCCCCGCCACCCTTACACTCTACAAGGCCGTGTTTCCAACTCCAACCTTCCCCCTTACTAATCTTCCTTTCTAATGAGTAAGAGCAACAGATATGCTGGAGTGGTAAGAAAAAAAAGCACATTTCTCAGTATACTGAAATACCTGGAGAGAAGGCTATGCATCTGAAACTTCTGATTTTTCTTTCCCTTGGACATATCAGTAATTCAATAGTTTCTTAATTTAATAATTTCTCAGATCATTTAATAAAACGTTATTTCGCCAAAGAGCCTTACTTCATTTTTTTCATTATAAATACTGCCTTCTTGTTTGAGACAGGCCATTGGAAGTTCACAGACACAATCTACCTTCTCATAAGGTTCCTTCTTCATTATACTGGGATTTGCTACAAAGACCAAAGCCCTACTTCTACAACCTATCTTTCACAGCAACTCATAGCAAATGCCTATAGAAGAGCTTAAGAGTGGTACAGTCACACACTGATAGTTTCAAGACAAGCTCTACCAAATTCTTGTAAAGCACATATTAGTATCTTTTCTGAGACAGCAGTAGCATCAGCCTAAGCAGACCACAATGGCCCCATCCCTCCTGCTGTGATTTTATCTAGTTATTTTTGATTATGTGAACTTTTAATATCCATACCTTAAGGCAACATATTTTACAGTTTAACTGTTCACCATGAAAGAAATAACACCCTTTTTTTTTTTTGAAACACGTTAATTTAATTTGATTTCCTCATACTGGTGAGGTAGCAGTCACTTAGGATTTTCCAGAAGACTAGTTTGTCCCCACCCAAGACATCTCTTCTTTAGCCTGAGTGTCCCAGTCTATTTAATCATTCGAAAACTATTTTATGTCTTCATTCATTTCTGTTGCCTTTTTCTTTACCTTCTTTACAGCCACATATTACAAGATTGCCAACGTAAACAGGCTTTTCAGGGTGAGTGCTTCAGCTCTAGATAGCATAGGCATTAGTACAAGCAGATGGAGACATCCATGGCATGTAATCACAAATCCTTGCACTACACCAGGCACTGGGTGTTAACAGATCCTGTTCAATCCCTTAATAAACTTGCACCCACTTGATTTTTAAATTATAAAATTAAGAGCTCTAGATGCACTCAGGACTTCTTTGTTGTGTTCAAAAGCCAGGGAGTATGGCTTAGAAAACATTTACATAGTTCTAAAAGTAACTGTGAAGGAACACTGCAGGTTGTATGAGTGCAAAAATTGAATTGATGCATTTGTTTTTCAATGCTTTTAACAGAGAGACTGGAAGATGAACCTTCCTCAGGAAAACACGGAGCTACAAGTGTGAAACATTTCTGAGAGCACAAAACCAGACTGATTTAGCTTTTCAGTGTTATTGTAACTTTGGCACAAGAAATACTGAAGTGTTTCCCTTCTAAACCTCTCATAAAGTCCAACTTTCCATTCATTATCCTAAGCCTAAATTTGGAAAACTGTCCTGACATTGCCACATACTGTGCTAGCACAATGCACTGACTGACATGCAATTTAGACAGGCAAGCCAGCACTCTTCTTCGCAAGCTTATTCTGACATGAGAAGAAAATGCTATCTGTAAGAGTGCATCAATATAGCTGCATCTATGCTAGTGGCTTTTGCCAGAACAGCATGCTCTAGCACAAATCCCATCTTATCACAATCAACATAGGCTGTAAATAGCAAAGAGTTATAAAGTATTCCTCAACTTAGAAGTTCCAGCATGATTAATAACCTAAAGTACAAAGCTGCTATACTTCCATTCATTTGAATACATCAAGTTGAAACATAGCCAGTACTCACAGTCCAGCAACTCAAGAATGCTGGAGTAACTCCTCAGTTGCATCAAGATTTCCAGCACTGACCCAATCAGCTGTTGTGGTTAATGTAATACTTGTAGGCCAAGATCATCACGGACATCTGCACACACAAGCCTTTCTGATACTGTAAGGTCTTGAGTCCATTCTGGTGCGTACAATATTTAACCACAGCCAAGCCAGACCTCATCCAAAGATCATTTAGTCAAATAACAGGACAAGATGCAGGAGAACAAAGTACTATCATACCCCTTTTCCACAGTAGTGTCTTCAAAATCATACTTTTTCTTAAGAGTCTGAAATATGTAATGTAAGAATTTAAATTAGTATTTTTGGAGCTACCTTCTCAAGAGATTTTAAGGATAAAAGCAATATTTGAAGGATTAACTACATTGATAGAGATCTTTTGTAAATTTTTCTGGTAAATTAAATGGGCTCATCCTCGGGACAGAAACCCCAGGAGAGAGAAGGTTTTCCTTACCCTACTGGGCAGTATTGTTCAACCACTTGACATCTATTACTAGCTTCTCATAAAGTTGAATTTAGGGCTGATTCAGGGGCACTGAAACAAACAGTTGCAACAGTTTAAAGTGTTTCCTCCCCTTACAGTACCATCCCTGACTGAAAAGATAGCACTGCAGGAGTGGCCAAAAGATACATACACCTAACCTTCAGCCACATCACATCAGTTAGGAGGATTAGATTAAACAACAAACCACAGATAGTACTAAAACACAATAGTCTGAACTGTTCTATACACACATGACAAAGTGTACTTGCAACAGTCTTGGCACTGGATAAGATTTTGCAAAGACAAAGTCTTCATAAACAAAAAGATCATTCAAACTATCTGCAGATAATATGGTTAGAATTTCTTTTGCATTGCTACATATTCATACTATCAGAACTTGCTCTTTTGGCTCAGTTTCTCCTTGATCCTGCAGCGGTGTTTAACCTAAGCATGACCATGGAAAGAGTAAGGTCATGAATTCAGAAAAACAGAAAAAGCTGCGGTAAGCAGGAAACTCTCTGCATCTATTCTTAAAATAGGTGTAGCTGGATTACATCAGACACTGGACTCTAATTTATAAAAGGCACTTCTCATAAACCTGCAATTCCTCTCCAATACTACTCTAACTTCAAAACAGAAGTTGTTTGCACTGAATGATGCCTTTAGGAATGGGGAGAGCTGGCTATTTTTTTGTTTCCCTTCCCTTAAACATATCCTCATACACTCCTGGTGTACCCTCATGGTCCCATATATGCCAGTGTCCAGAAGACAGTCATTTTGATTTCTCCGGAGCCACCTTTTACATGATGCATCACCAAGGGAGGAACTCAAGCATAGGATGGAATTCAGAAACTTGACAAGTTTCTCATACAAGATCTTTGAGGACTTTGTACAGAGCCATTAAATCCTGTCTATCCTACTAACCCATTAATCTTTTCAGCCTAAATCAGTGCAGATTTGTGACACAGACTTTTATTTTTCAGAACTTCCTGAAGATCTGGTCTGCCCACTTACACGAGCATGCTGTTTTCTCACCAGGCTTTCTGCCCAGACAGAGAACACCGTCATTTTCCTCCAGAGATCTTTCTTGTCAATTCTAACAGAGCAATTTTAAACAGTTTTCGAGGTTGAAGTTGTCTGAACCATAGCAGACACGGTAAGTAACTGCAGATAGTTTTATCCATGCAATAAGTTCTTGATATTGGGTTGAAGGTTTTTTTGTGGTTCTAAACAGTGGAGTATTCCACTCTAAGTGTCTAAATCGTGAGATACAATAAGTGTATGCGAGAGGTTAATACATAACAACACGGACGACTGCACAAGAAATAGTAACACTGGGGCCGTACTGCTGAAGTTACTAACAGACTTAGAACACAGCTCACATAACTTCAGATCTCACCGTACACACCCCCAGCCATCCAAGACAAAAGTGTTCAGACTAAATTGGGCACACGTTTCCAAATCTTCCTTGGAGGGAAAGAAATACTAACAAGGAGTGATTTGTCCACTACAACATGAAAAGCAGAACAGCACCTTGATCCCTGTACTACAGAAAAAACCCAAAGGCACTGCTAGGCAAGGTATCCATGTTCAGGGCAAGTGAAACATTACCCATCAATGAAATAAATCATATCCATGATGAAGAAATAAAGGGCTCCGATAATCTGGAGAAGCTATGCTTTCACAGCTTAAGTACTAGGAAGATAGCATTAGTGTTTTAGCGCTAAGTCAACAGAACCGCACTCTAAGTCCCTGAACTGATAGAGGCAGAATAGAAATTAGAGGAGCAGGCTTATTATAAATAGCTGCAAAATAGATAAGTTTCATAAAGCTTCCTAGGAACTAAAAAACCTGGCTATTGTTCACTGTTAGCAGAACTTATTTCTGACAAAGTAACCTACTGTTCCCAAGGAGAACAGCAGTTTCCATCCAGACTCACTGTCTGGAACAGAAGAGATGTTTTCTCTCCCTCATTATTAAAAACAGTAATAAGGGTTGAACGTTTTTCCAATTTAACTAGAAACAATTTAGTTCCAATTCTATATTTTCTCGCTCAAAGCAGCTTTACACCCTCCCTGTTCCATTTTCTGCTCACACCATTCATATATACATCTACTGTACTTGGGCACAATGTAGCTTAAAATTAGCACCTCTGAAACAGTGATAACGCTATTCCATCCAGTTGGATGGATAGATCCAACTAACGAGAAATCTGGATGCGTTTCCACCTGTTGTAAAAAGCACACTTTAGTTCACTCTCTGGCTACCGAGAAACAACACACGGTCCCTGCGAACCTAAGAGATATCTTTTACTCCAGACGCCGGGACACCTTAGTGTCCCGCAGCCAGCTGGCAGCACGACCTTCTCCCGTGGAGTGCTTTTTTGCGCTCATCTGCCCTGCAGCCAGACCTGATGTGGCTCCCCTCCAGCCACTCTAGCCTCCATTCAACGCCGCAGAGTAAAACCAGCAGGGCCAGACTTCTCATCCCTGCGACTTCTTACCCAAAACGTTAACGAAAGGCATTGTTTTTAAAGAAATAGACGGGTTTCTCGCTCCCAGATCCCTGCCTCTCTCAAGGACGTGTTGGTTTAACACTTGCTTTGGAGCGTCGCTTCCCGCGCACCCCCCACCCCCGGGACAGGCATAGCCGGCACGGACGGACCGACGGACACTCACTCTCGGAGTCGCTGAGGCCGCTGCCGTCGCTGACGCTGGCGCTGCTCCGCCGCTTCATGCGCTCCAGGTGGTCGCCGTAGTAGAAGCGGCGCCGGCCGGCGGGGCAGGAGAACTCGGCCAGCACCGCGTCGAACTCGCCCAGCGCCTCCGCCAGGCCCCCGCCGCCGTCCGCCCCCGGCCCTGCCGGGCGGCAGCAGCGCCGTCAGACCGGGACGGGCGCTGCCCCACCGCAACCCCCCCCGCCCGCCCCGGCAGAGAGAAAGGAAAGGGAGAGAGGAAGGGGTCCCGCCCGCCCCCTCGTCCCGCTGCTCCCACCTTGCCCCGCCGGCCGCTGGGCTGCAGGAGACTTCATGGCGGCGGCGGGCGGAGATGCCCCGGCGCCGCTGCCGCCTCCCGCCGCCAGCATGAACCGCCTGGCTCCGCCGGCCCTCTCTTATAGCCCGGCCGGGCCGGGCCGGGCCGTGGCGGAGCGGCGGGCGGGGGGCGGTGCCGCGGGCGGTGCAGGTGTGCCGTGCAGGGCCGGGGGCAGCGGCACGCCCGGGGCTCGGCCAGGGTGTCTGGGCAGCTGGAGCCCGGCTAGCAACGCAGTCACCGCCGGGAGGTGTCGCTTCTTGTCCTGTGCCCGCCGCCCCGGCAGCGGGATGGGGGCTCCTCCGGGTGATGCCGGTGCGCTAACTTCGGGACCGGGTGTGTGCCGGGCTGCTGGCGGAGGGAGGATACAGCGAGCGTCAGAGCCAGCTGCAAGGAGGGACTCTCACGGGAACACAAGGCTGGATCATCCTCACCCAGCCCCGTGGCTGCTCCCGACCGAGGGCACAGAGCAGGACGAGGTGGCAGCAGCTTACTCGGAGTGAGCCAGTGGCTTTGCATGCAACTGCTGCTCGGCCACCCTGAGAGTCCCTTCCATCCCCATCCCCACCGCATTGTGCTGGCATCTGTCCATGGTTATTGCCCTGCTCCATACGTTAGTGAGCAGTGGACACGGCCGTGGGGACAGCTGAGCCACTTTATTCCAAGGGTGACCCGAGGAGAGGAGCAGGTGGTAGTGGAAATGTAAGAAATGCTTAGGCACAGGGAACCATGGCCCCAGGTGCCTCAGCCAGGGCGTTCTCCGGTGGAGTGCTTTCCTTATTCTTAGGAGAAAGATATTAGCACTTGTCCTGAAGTCAGGTTAACCTGATGTTTGTACATGCCATAGCTACCGAGTATTGCTCTTGTGCTGTCTCTCGCTCGTTTTAAATGAAAGCTGTCTGAGCAGCTAAAATACCAGTTCTGTTAAATACTCACTGGGGAAGACTGTCATATTTAGTTACATCCAGAAATACTGAAAACAGACACCAGGTGCTATTCCACGAGAATGCATCAGGAGCTATAATTATGTTTGTGTGTTGATGAGAATATTTAGAGTTAGAATAGAAGTGTCTGGGACAGGGAGAAGGAAGGAAAAACGTATCTCCAAAACTTTTTGACATTTTCAGACATGCTGTCATTGCTCCTGCAAGATACAATATGAGAAAAACAATATTCTAGACAATAAAACAGATTTGTTCACCTCTCCTTACTGTCTGATATGGAGGCATTTATTTATTTTTGCAGTGAATCAAAAGAAGTTCTCATGGTGAAGTTCAACTGTTATTTATTCTGTGGCTTCCTCCTCCCTGGTCTTCCTCTGTTTTTCTTTCTGCTAATAAAAGTGGCTACAAACAATCCTTTTTAAAGACCATAGTGTCACAGATGGAAAGCAAGGTTAAAAAGTGGGGAACAAGGAGATACAAGAGCATGACGTCAGTAGCACGAGTAGGACAAAAGACAATAGACAAGGCAGAAAGGGGAACTGTTGAGTATGTAACTAGGTAGAACTCACAGCCCAAAAAGACAAGGACCTGGCCCTGCAGCTGATGTCAGTTCTTTTTTGCTCAAGCATCTAAATGTGTGATCAGCCCTACCTGTCCCAGCCCCACATCCCAGCCAAGCACTGGTCCTGTGCTTGGTCTAAAGACGTGACTTAAGGGCAAAAGATGTTTGAGGCTTGAATCTATCCATTTTGTGAGGAATACAGGCAAAATAACCAAAGGATAGAAGTCCTCCTGTGCCCTTCCTGTTATTTCTCACAAAGATGGTCAAACAATCTCACAGCTTTTTGGAATGGGATCTGAGATCACATCATAAAGAAAGAGCACAAAGGGGGATGATGCTGTACAACAGGGCTTGAGTTGCTTGGGGCCTTGCTGCCACAAAAAGGGAAATGACCTGCCCTGCTTCTCCCTTCTTGTACTCCTGGCCTAAACCAAAGCATGTGCTTTGAGCAGGTTTGTCTCATCTTCTGCTGAGCCAATTCAACATGTTAGAACAGCAGAAAACTAATCCGCAAGAAAGTGAGTAATTTTCAGTTGAACTGAGTTGAGCAGGCTCAGCGCAGGGAGCTAATAAAAGGAGAGAGTGGATGGGTAGGGGGGAAAAATAATTGCTTCCTTGTAGTAATATAAGAATTTATCCCCGGTATTCTCTTTAAATTATTATTTTGCATTCAAATTGACATTTTCAGAATAATTTTTAAGCATGATGTAGAAATTATGTCATAAACTTCCATTCTTTACAGTCATATGTTTGGGAAACCTTTCCTTAAAGACAACCTGGGCTTAAAAATCCTTGGTCATGCTTACTGCTCCATAGACGAGTCTTTTAACATTTCTTTCAGTAAATACTTGTGTTTTCTCCTAAGTAGCCTTGATTCTGCTGAATGCAACTGACACTCAGCTGGTGAACTTTTAATTTTCCACATAAACCATTAGCCTTTACAGGAGGAAGCAAAGATTGACTTTTATGCTTATCAGTTCTATGTCATAGACCATGTAGCCATGCACATCCATAAATATTCTTGAAAGGCCATAACATGCTCCTGCTGAAATAGCTGCATTTTTGTCCCTAATGCCAACAGGAGGAGCCCATGTCTGGCAAAACGAAGAAGTCAGTTTTGAGTGCAGTGCCCTGAAACACTGCAGGCTGACACGCCTGGCTGCTCATGTTTACTGGGAGAAACATCCAACACAACTTATAATGTAAACCTCAGCTACTGAATCCCTCCCATTTTCTAGGACGCTGTCCAAGCTGTATCTAAAGTGAATTTCTTCTTGACCATTCAACGCAGTGCCTCCAGATCCTCCCCAGCTGGTGACACAATGTTTACAGCGGTTTCCTACTGCATTTTTAACCTCACAAACTTGTAAGCCACACAGCTGTTTAAACCAACAAATCCTGCCTGTAAGTATGCTTCAGGGAAAGACTTTTAAAACAGACGCTCTCATATAACCAAATTGCAAGGCTTACAAGGTACTAGTTTTCTAAATGAAACATGGAGTAAATTGGGACACCAAACAGAATCCTAGGAGGGGTTTACAGAGGCATTGGTGCTGCAGATTGACTAATCTAGTGGTTTTCAAACCATGACCCAGAGATGCTTACAGATCCATGAACAACTTCTGAGGCATTCACGTAAGACAGGAAATAAAAACAGGAAGAGAAATTTACTGGAAGCAGGTTAAAATTCACAGTATATATGCAGCACTATATGCACTTACACAAAAACTGGAACTGCAGAAGGGGGAATCTGCAAGTCCAAAATGGCTGAAAAGTTTTTGTCTAATGAATAATTTATTTTCACCACTTCAAAGAGCAAGAATACCCCAAAATATCATTCCTGTTGAGTAAGCACCATGTTCCCACAGGTAAAAGATGTTTTGTGGAACCTAAACCTGTCTTCTCACTGGTATTGGTACTAGATAAAAGCCAGAGCGCTAGATCTCTGCCCATGGAAGCAGCCTGGAGTTTTGAATATATAATTTCCACAAGTCTTTTAGTATTTATTAGTCTGTGAAAATAATAATTCTTTACAAAAGTATCAATACCAAGTTGTTAGGGTAGATACTAAATCTAAAACCTGGGAATGACAAACAGCCCATCATCACCAAACTTTTAGCTGAAGGAAAGCAAGGGAACCAAAAATTTGGACATCTGTGAAAGAGAAAAATGAAAACTGCCAGAGGATGAAAAAGCACAGGTGTCAACCAGACTGACACACAGAGAAACCCAACTCCTTGGGCCACAGAGCAGGAATAGACCAAACATCATCAGTATAACTTGTCTTCCTGTTCAGCACATCAGAACCCTGCCCTCGGGATGCTTGTTTGAAGGGAGACAGTGGTTAACACTCCAGCCTATTTTATCCTTCACGCTGCAAGTGGAATTGCCTATGTGAGTGAATTGCTAAACTCGTTCTGTAATGAGGAGAGCTGTCTAATTAAAACTTGGCTGAGATGAGCCATGCATTTTACGTAGGCTACCTAACTACCATCCAAGGTGTTCTGCTTCATTTGCTGACAGCTGGGCTAAATATAAGCCTGTAGCTAGCTATGTATTAGCTACAGCCTTGTATTTAGCCCAGCTGTCCTGTAGCTCAATCCACAACACCAGTGGGAAGAGTGAGTGACTCACAGCAATATAATCACTCTTGAAAAACTGCCAAAGTAAAAAACCAAAAACTTTTGCCAGAGATCTTTCATAGGATTTTCCTTCCTCTTCTCCCAACCTGTTCCGTAGACCTTAAACTGAAACTTGAAGTTACTACAAACTGATGCACTTCCTTTTGGTTTTCTCTCTCCCTCTAATGCAAACTCATGGACCCGCTCACTGCCACTCACAGCTGTAGCTTTATGAGCAAAACATACATATTCCTGCTGAATTCTGCCAAAGCCTGAATTCACTACTCTTCTAAATTTTCTGCTTCTCAAATTAACCTCCTAAGTGTGAACACAATGTAGCCCATACAGTTTTCTCTTCCTCTGTCTTTCAGTAACTAGAGGCAGAAGCTCTTGGATTTTTGAATGGATGTGTTTAAATAAGTTGTTGGTTCTGAAACATGTTTATGGCAGTTTAGTTTCAATTACTATTGTTGCAGCTAGATTAAAAGTCCCTGAAACTGATGAAGTGTAATCATAACCTATACTGACATTTCTGGAATGGTGAGTTGAGTATGAGCTTCTGTCCACAGCAAAAAGATATGAAAAACTACTCAAGAATTTGAAAGTTCTGAGTCAAGGGACTTTGGCTGAGCATTACATGGGAAAGAGAGAGAAGTTCAGGTAAGGAGAGGGATGGCTGTGAGTAAATAGGAGATAAAGAAGTTTCAAAATAACTGTTCGGTGCCTTTTCAGAGAAGATGGAAGGAATAGTGTCACTTAATGAAAAATACGTTCATACTACCAATTCAACTTGGGTCCATAGTAATTTTGATGCAGGTCTGGTATTGCTTCCAGCTGACTTCTGTTGTTTTCAATTTCTAAGCATTTTTCTTGTGCATGAGCTGACTTCTCATTCAGCAGAAACTGAAGAATGGAAGTGAAACTGAAATGGAAGACCATCCCAAATGTATCCTTACTCTACAGGAGACATGCAGGTCCCAGTCAAAGGCTAGGAACTGAAAACATGAATTGTTTTTCTTATATACTTAGGAAAGTACTCCCGAATGTTCTTGGTATCAGCTTAATTTTTTCTTCACACTAGTGTAAATTAGAGCTAAATTTTAGTTGTTTGGGTCAAAAGAGACAACTGCTGACAACCTAAATCCTGGTCACATTTGCAGAAACATTTTTGATATCAAGCTGCATGACAAGGCCTTTTCCTCTTTTCCTCACTGCTCACCAGGTTTTTCCAATGATGTCTATGTTTGTTTAGC